ATTTGAAAAAGTATTTAAGGTAATTAATAATCAGGGAAATACAAAATCTCAAAAATAATGCATATCCAGCACTGCATACCAAGAGATAACAGGAATGTAGAGAAATGAGAATTCTCTTACATTGCGGGTGACAGTAACAATTGACACCTTTTATCACATCACATACTAAAGTCTTCCTGTTTTGCAGCTATTCTACTCCCAGTAAACTCTTGGTGGAAATGTACAGGCATGGGCACCAAGACACTTAGTAGAATGAGCATTGCAGTATTTGTTCATAATATGTGAAAATTGGAAACAATTCAAATATCCATGGAAGAATGGATGCATTTTCTTGAACATTATCCATACAGTGGATATTAAACAAATTGCACATTCAGTATAACAACATGGATGAGTCTCAAACATAAAGTTGAGCTAAAGAAGTCAGAAATAAAGGAATACATATTTTGTCCATTTATTTAAAATAAGAATATTCAAAACTAAATTATGTTTAAGGAATACATACTTAGGTGGCAAATAAGGAAATTACCATAAAGGTTAGGATAGTGATTACTTTATGGGGAGGGAGTGCGTGGAGATGCTGTAATTCAGAGCTGAGGGATGCTATGAATGTTCAGTTACCTATCCTGAGAGGTAGTTATGCAAATACTTATTTTATAATACTCATTAAATTGGATATTAATATTTTATGTAGTTTTCTGAATGTGTTTTATACTTTACAATTAAGAAGTTTTAAAAACTGAGGAGTTAAATACATGGTGCCATTTACGGCCCTACATTATGATAAGTTTGACACATGTTCTTGCTAGTGAGGCTGATGCTCATAATACATAAATTATTAGAAGTATTTCATTTATGTACACTATCTCATTGGCGCCATATTCTGTAGGCATGGCAGAAGCTACTGGACTTTTTTCATAACTGAGAAAATGAAAAAGTCTAAAGAAGTTAAGTTGGTTATCAAAATCCACATTGCTAACATGTGACAGAGGTGAAACTTGAAACCAGTACTTATCCCCTATTTCCCCAAATCAAACTTAAAAATCAGAACAATGTATATCTACTATAATTGGTATTTTAAAAAGTGCAAAATAGTAAGTGCTGGAAAGGGTGTGAAGTTGGAACCTTCCTGCATTGCTGATGAGAATGTAAGACAGTGAAGCAGCTGTGAAAAATAGTTTGGCAGTATCTCAGAAAGTTAATAGATTTACTGTATGACCCAAGAAATACACTCCTAGGTATATACCCAAAGGAATCGAAAACAAAGACTCAAACAAAGAAATACTTGCACATCTATGTTCACAGCAGCATTTTTTACAACAGCCAAGAGGTGGAACCAATTCAATGATTCATCAACAAATGAATAGATGAATAAATATGATGTACATATATAATGAAATATTATTCAGCCATAAAACAAAATGGAATCTGATATAAAACAACATTGATGAACCTTGAAAGCATGCTGAGTTAAATAAACAGACACAAAAGGACAAATATTGTGATTTCCATTTACATGAGAATAGGAAAATTTGTAGAATAGGGAAATTTATAGATGTCACCAAGGGTAAGGAGGAGGGGAATGAGAAATTTTTGTGTTTGTGTGTGGTGTTGGGGATTGAACCCAGGGCCTCATGCATGCTAGGCCAGTGCTCTACTACTGTACTATATTTCAGCCTAGAAGGATGGAAAATGGGAATTAATATTTAATGAGTATAGAGTTTATGTTTGGGATGATGAAACTCTTCTGGAATCTGTGGTGATGGTAACATAATATTGTAAATGTACTTGATGCACTAACTGTATTCTTGATAATGGTAAAAAATTATAAATTTCGTGTTATATCATTTTACAATAATAAAAAAGTTTTCAGAAAATACTGGAAATACATTCTGATGAACTTTGCCTACTCTCCATTCCCCAACCAGGCAGCTGAGTTTATTCTGGTTTGGGGTGTGGGGGGTCAGATGTCTTTGGTCCTATTCCAGGAAGATCCTAGAAAGTAGGTAGAGCTTACATTTCCCATTTCCAAGGTTAATTTCCTACCAGTTTTGAAATGCTTCATGTTCTAGAGATCCTCCACAACTGACAACAAGAGGGAACATAAAAGACCAACCAATTCTACATCAATCAGGAATAAATGAGTGTGTGTACTATGTGTATAGGAAGAGGGTATGTGAAGATGCTCGTGCCTAGCCTTAGAGAAAAGGCGTGAGGCTATGTGGGTGAAGCAGATGGAAATAGGGTGATCTGAATTATTTCTCCTTGGCATGAGGCAGCTGAGGTAGCCTGTTTGGTATATAAAAAATAAACTAGCATAAAGATAAAGATGTAAATTTTTCAGACTTTTTGGTGTTTTACAAAAACTCTTTAGACTTGGTCTTTAAATTTGCTTCCTTGAGGTAGTTTTCCTGTTTAAAAATTCAAATTGTATTACTTAACTCCATTGCAAAGAACATTCAAAAATATTCTTTAGTGTTCAGCTAGTGTGGGAATCTACCAAGAGATAATAATGGAAATATTAAGACAAATAGTAAATATCATTTCTCTTTAATGCTTTAAGTAATCTCACTGTTTCTTCCAATTAAAGTTCATATGTACTTCTTTATCTAATCTTAAAAAAAGCTTTTAACTTTTTTTGCTTCTATTGAAAAGTTTGATTTTGTGACATGTATAATATTTTTCTATTTTCAGCGTTATTTCATACTTCATATTTTTAAAAAATTATATAATTGTACCTATTAGTTTAAAAATTTGGATTCATGTACAGTGACAATTATGTGAAATTGTCATGACAACATAGTATAGTGGTGATGAGCAATGACACTAAAGCTGACCTTCATGGCTTTGAATCCTGGTTCACACTTACTAGCTTTGTGACCATAGGAAAGGAATTTGACCACTGTATGTATCATAGAGTTTATTTATACATAAAATATAGCTAACAAGAATATCTAATATATAGAATTGTTGTGAAAACTAAGTGAATTAACATCTGTAAGCTACCTGACATATTATCATGCTCACAGAAAATGCTATTTAAATATTTGTTTAATTAAACAGAAGTTAGGTGTGGTCCAGACTTTGCATTTTTATTTTTTTATGTGTGAAATGAAGATTTTTTAACACAAAAGTTTGTGTGAATATTACTGAAACATCAATAGTAATGTTTGCTTAGAAATTCTTTGTAAGAAAGTTGGTAGAAGTTACTGTTTACTATGTAATTACCAGTACAGTCAGAATGCATTTTCAAAAGAAAGTAGATTAACTGTCAACTAATAGTGGGTTTTGATCAAACACTTTAGTTGATTTTATACCTCTGTCCTAAATAGAAAGGGAAGCTTTTACATAATAAAAGTTATCAGATTAATCATAACTCCACTAACTCTTGACATAATAATTAATCAATTACCCATGATGTTAAGAAAATACATAATCTGTGATATGAGAAATCAATTATTTCATTATTCATCATTAATTATAGAACTTTGATTTGATTTACTTTGTTGTATATTATTTTACTGGTCTATTAACTTAATAATTTGAGCAATTGCTTATAGTTTTTGATGTTAGGTAATAGATTTAGTGGATATTATTAGATAATTTATGCTGAAAATAATGTTTATGTATATTATGGAAAGTGCTGCCATTTTAATCTGAACGCTGTACAAAGTTGATTATAATGAATCCATTTTCTTTCAACAAAATTCAAATAAAACAAGTATAAATGTAACTTTCCATTGACAGATTATGATAGTTTCCAATATTGTCTAACATAAAATAGTAGCTAATAGTATTCTTGACCTTCACTTTTTTCATTTATCTATGAATTTATTATTCTGTCACCAAAGGATTCTGATGTCAAATGAAGAGAATAAAATGAATATTTTGATTCTTATTGTTTATTTTTAAACCACTGCTAATTACCAGTCTCCTTCTGTTGATACTTATCCTCTTAGAAATTTCTCATAGAGATCTTTGTTTTGACTTTTTAGCAAATTCCTTTTCAGGATTACTTGCACTTACACTTCAGATAGAGTTGTTTATTTGTATTTTTTCATTTGGATTTCCTTGACTGTTTCTCTCTAGACATATAAATAGGACTGGCATAATGCTAATCAAGGTTTTTCAAAGAAAAGGGATTATATGGGTGTACAATTTTCTTTGGAAATTCCAAATTTCCAGAGCTTTGAGTGAAAAGTAAAAAAAGAGCAGCGGGGAGCATTTATTGGCAAATATGACATTAATCAATATGAAGTTACTCATTGTCTTTGTCTATCTGATTTATTATGAACAGTCACATATTTTACTATATTAATATTAATAGTCTATTTACAGGATGCTGCCCTGGGATCCAGTAGAAATGTGTAGTATATATGCTATTTTGTCTTTGTAAAATTAGGAAAAATCACATCATCTAAAATACATTTAGTTGTAAGGGTTGTACATAACCTGTAATGATCAACACTGAATAGCCTAAGAATATAAAATTTCTAATCTAATTATGAATTAACATTCTTTAACTTTTTCTTTTAGATTACCATTAGATATAATACAAAAACTAAATATTTTAAATTCTAATCAGTATTTCCAGCTTCTTGGAAACATAATTACTGTTAATATGGTTTGTCAAAATTCTCATATCCCATATTTTAAAGAAATATTTGGCTCCACACATTACTTACGGGGACTGATGATGGATTCTAAATTGACACGAGCCACATAAACAGTTTCATAGCATTTGAGTTCAATGATTGTTTATGGGATATCTTGAGATAATAATACCATATGTTGCATCTATGTTCAATTCTCTGAGTAAAGTTCTATGAGCTTTCTTGATCCCTGATCTTGGGGAGGAAATCTTTTTATATGAATTGCACTGTTATTACAGAAACATTTTTCATGTAGGATGTGTAAATTACTAAACACATAACCCTTGAGTGAGAAATGTTAATACTAATTTGCTTGTAATAATCTAATTTTTTACCTGTCATTTTTAGGTATTTACTACCAGGAAGTACCCAGTTCTTCATGAGAACACCAATCTACAACACGAAATACAATTCTCCTGGAATGACTCGCTCCAATATTTTGTTTACATCCCGATATGGCCATTCATGAAACTGAAAGGAAGATCCATCATAGGTCATGCATAATAGCAATTAATTTACTGCCTCAAGTTGAACACACAAAGACAGTAACCATTAAGTGCTGTTTTATGTATATATGACATATATGTGTGGAAATATATGCACACATGCACTCAAATTATATATGTATATATATATATTTATTATAATATATGAAAGAAGAATTAGCAGAAAACTGAATATAAGATTTAACCTTTCTGGAAATGTAATAAACCATGTTAAATTGTTTACACAAATATGTGAATGTCTAGAATTTGCTAGGTTTATAATTCCTTCCTACTAGAAATGTTATTTTTGCTGCAGAGATTATAAAATGGAATTGATCTTGACGATCCCATTACAGTGTTAAATTATTTTCTAGATAACACAGCTTTTGACTTGAAAAAGCATTAATAGTATAATATGTTATAGTTCTGTTATTCACAGTAGCCATTTAAAATGAAACACAAAAGATTGAGAAGCCAGGTGTTGCTTGATGATAGGATTAAGTATAAAATGGGCTTACCATTAATATACACATGTAAAGTACTAGAAAAAAATCCCAAACTGATTCACCTGCATTTTTATTCCTCTGTGTGGGAATTCATCAACATGTAATAAAGTACATTTTCAGTAAGGATCTGGTAAGATCATATTATGATCTAAAACAGAAGACAATCCATTGGGCTAACAATAAAATGTAATATAGTTTATATCTTTACATTTTATAGGGAGTCATGGAAAGGAACAGAAAATGATGGTAATGACAGAATTCTATATGACTGTTGTGTCTCATAACATTTTTATTTGGAAAATATGTCTTTGATGGGTAAACATATGCTTAAGTACAATTCTTCTGCAGAAGTACAAGAACAGACATTTCAAACTCATTTTGGTGTTAAAAAATAATGCATCACACTTATTATATAATAAATCTCTCAATCTTGACACCAATTTACAAAGTTTAGTATGGTAGTTTCTCATTACACCATAGAAAAATCTAAATGATTCTGAATACAAGATTCTAGTAGCCACATATTACTAATTATTGAAATACCCTTGAGAAATTTGTTTTAATCAAAGTACAGTATGAAGTTTTCTTCCTGTCAGATGTGATTATGGATAAGTTTTATAGCAATTTACTTCCATTTCTGGCTTATGGTTTGAAAACCAATGAGTGAGCCTTTAGTTTTCCACAAAAATATAAACACCTCTATCATTGAACTCCTTAGAAAGTATATTCCTTTCAGAAATTTATTGAAACTTCCTCACCCAGTGGTTCTTCTTATAGATGCTAATGTATTTGCAAAATTCATGAATGTTGTACTTCTTTTTAATATCCTAAAATTTATTTCCAGTAAATCAAGAAACGGCCTCACAGCAGGAGAACTGAGACAGGCAGATTGGCCTGGTTTAATTCAGAAGCTGGATAGTTGACAACCCAGAGTTGTAAGTCAGACAGATTTTTGCTTTAAGGCCATCTTCTGAGAGTGTTGGACCGAAATGATTTATTTCTTTCCTAAATTATTGCTCGTTACTCTATTCTTTTTGACTATTTAACATCCACATTCCAGTTGGGAACTTTCTTTGCTGGATGCATCCCAATTAATTTGCCATTGTCATTGTGGGAAAAGAGGACAAGATATCGAGATGAAGGAAATTCCTAAAAAGTGTTTAGGACTCTATTTTGTGATTTCTTAAACATGGTGTAGCTTTTCCAAAATAAATAATGTAAACACTGGGCTCTTATAACACCACTGTAAGAATGATCAAAAAGTCAGTCATTTCATGGAGTATTTTTAGTCAATTTTTTTTTAATTCATGCTTTGGCCATGAAGGAGACACAACTTGCAGTGGCTAATAAATACTGTCAACCCAGTTTGATGGTCATTCACTTGCTTTAGCTTAAGTCACAAATGGTCACTTAATTTTCTCTAGTGTGTTTTAGAACTTCTGTCTTTATTCATACAAGAGTGAAATTTTTATTTAAAATTAAAAAAAAAATGAAAATGTTCAACACTGGGAGGAACCCTTCCTCCAGAAACACACTCACACAATTGAAAGATAAAAGTGAATTTAAAAGAATAGTATTACCCTGCTATTTGATGAAGTAAATTTTACTTCTCTAGCTACATACATCTGGCCTTATTTTGAGCACTAGAATTTTATTACCCACATTTGCCTTTTCATACTGATCTGCTTTGATATGATGAGGTTATGAATAAAAGCCATTTGCTCATTGTTTATATATGCTACCTGGCATGCTGTGCACTCTAGCTGCTGTAGTGCTATTCCCTAATGAGCAACTAAGAGGAGAAGACACAATAATGAACCATGAAGTCTCCAGAGACCATAGAAATGCTTTTGAGGCATAAAATATCCCTTAGTTTTTATTATAAATTTTTTATTCACAGGGTAAAAACATATCAGCATAAGCAATAGTACAAATTCAACTCTTTTTTTTTTTAAGGAGAGAATGTAGCTTTATTTGAAAAACTGTGAAAGCTATTCTCACCAGGGGTTTTAAAAGGGAATTTGGTTTACTTACAATGGAAGCATACTTTCACTATGATATAGAAAAACATACCCCTAAATTGGGTAAATCTTAAGACTGGAAAGCTTACCAAAGCTATAAGATTGGGTTGATTTCCAGATTGTCTAGGAAAGAACCTTTTTATTTTAAATCATGCCATACCAACCCAGTCTGAGATTGCAAATTAGTTTTCACTCAAATATTCCAGCATTGTAGATTAGTTATCATTTGCTTTATATGATATATTAAAGGTACTGTTCTTCATATTTTAATTCATTTTATAAGCAATAAATTTTAATGCATTTAATTTACTGTAAGAATACAAAAATGATGTTGTCACAGAATCAAGCATGGAAATGGAAATGGTATTCTCTGTTTAGTATGTAGTTGTATATTACAGATAAGATGCCAGGATATGTACACAAATTTTATTATATGTCTACGTTAGGTGTAAATACACCAAAATTTCCTTAGTTCCTCCTCCCCAAATTAAAAAACTACCAAACCAAACGACAAAAGTCCCTTTCTTTTCATTTAATATTTATGCACAATTAGATAATAGTGGCTTCTAGCCATAAGAAATTGAGGGCATCCAACTAAGTGATGTTCATCTAGCTGCCTGAACCACAGACATTGTGGCCTTCTGAATTTGGGGGTAATTGGTTACAAAGCAATAGATAACTAATACATCTTAGAGCCTCTGACTATTCTACTATTATTTTGACAATTTGTTTTTTAAAGAGATTATTATTGTGGCGTATGTAAAAAAACCTGAAAATGATCTTATTTTAATTTTACTTTAACTTAGAGAGTAGATGAGTATGGAATTTTATCTAACTTGAAATTTCAGATGTTTTAATATAAATAAATTCAAATATTTTCTTCTTTAAAATGTGAAAGTCATTCTGTGTAGAAATTCTCTTCAACACACTACAATATTCAACATTTTCAAAAGTACCCCAAAAAAGCTTCATAAGTTTTATTATTTAATTTTCTGTAAAGCATTGATTCATTCTTAATTATATATTCTCCAAAAATAATAGAAAATACCTCAGGAGTGACAGAAGATGCTTCCCATTTTTGTTTTGTAATGCTAATTTACATTTTGAGTCTTGGTTTATGTCATTCTAAGAGTTAACAATAAAAAAAGTAACTATTTAATGAATTGTCTTCCTGTGATCTGATGATTTTTTAAGTATTTGCTCTTCTTTTTAAATTGAGAAATTTGTTTTTGAGAGTCATGTTATCTAAACATTAGTTATTTAAATATTTTGGACTAACGTTAACTTAAAAATAAATTAAAATTTAGAAATATACTCATGATGAAAATTTTATTCCTTACATTGCTTTCTGTTTCTCTTCTCCCTCTTATCTTTCTCCTTCTCTGAATTCCCTTTCAAGCTTTGAACTTTGCATGGACAAAGTCAAGAAAAGAGAAATCCTGCTTTTTAAACATTCATTGTTCTTGAATTTTATGGTATGTGTTTGCCTGAACAACAATAAAATTTAGATCCAATATGTTACAGGATCGAGTTCAGTTTGCTGAGATTTTTAGGAGCCGGGTTGAAGTCTCTATGCCTAAAAAAGCATTAATTACTGGATCCATACAAAAAGCAAGATACGTGGCTACAAATAACATTCTTGTAACCAAAAGTTTTAATATTAAAACTTATCGCACACTTTGAGACTGCCGCCATTTTTTTCCTCTATCATAAATATGTATATAATATATCGAAGGAAAATTGTTCAAATAACATATTCTGTATTAACTGGGCTGTCTTACCTAAGAAGAGTAAATAAAGCTTTCATTTTATCCCCTGCTACTAACTTGAAAGCTATTGGTAAAAACATCATTCAATAGACTAATTATTCTTAAATTAGTAAGAAAGCTTACCTTAAAAAAGTGACCTTATAATGCTGATATTTCTCTTTAAAAGGCTAACCACAATTCCTTGTCCTGAGTTCATACAGTAATGACTATACATACTATAACATGTGATTAATGGATTTGCAGAAGGTTTTGGATTTGAGGATTAGCTTAAAAGCAGTACATGTACTAACACAAATCATGACTCAAATATCCCCATGTGCTTTACAACCTGTATATGAATCCAAATATTGTCACAAAAAATGTGCTTGAAATGTTAACACAGTATGCAATTAGCATTGCATTGTCATGCTCCAGCATGTGGTATCTGTATGGTGAAGTTATTTCAATTATTCAGATATGTTACTATAATAAAAAAGGTTTAACATAAGAAAGCCTACAGTATGTCATCAAATGCTTATTTCTGTTTCTCTCTCCGCACATACCTCCCTCTCCCCCCGCCTACTTTAGTAATAGAGATTGGTTTCAAATTAAGCTTTCAAGGTGATGAGAATATATTTTCACAATAATTTTTGCTGCTGTACGGACAGCAGTAGCACTATCCAGGATAGTGCTACCTGCCATTAAAGTCAGGTCAAGTAAACAAAATGGGTTTGAACTCCTCTTTTGGTTAACTGGAAGGCAGATAGTTCTAAAATTTAGAAATTTCACTTTTATATCTTTCTAGTATTGTGGATTCTAGGAACAGTATTAGTAATCTGATTAGAATTATGTCAGAATCTCAGGCATGAAGTTCATTTTTTTCTGGAATTTATAATTATTCATCATTGTTGAAATTTACACACTAAGCTTCAAAAGGAAACATGTCCTATTGACCTTCATAACATTGTGATTTAAGATAATTACATATAAAGAATTTGGAAAAGTTTTCCTTCATTTACTTAGTTTTTGCAATGCTGGGAACTGAACACTTTGTGTATGCTAGCCAAGAATTCTACCTGTATACCTCACTTTAGAATAATTTTCCTTAAAAGAACAAAAGCACTTTGGATAAAATTCCTATCATGCTAGGGGCAGGGTTTGTTTACCTGAGAACTGAGCTCTTTAAGAGGCTGAGGCAAGAATTCAAGTTCAAGACTAGTTTGGGCAACTTAGTAAGACCCCGACTCAAAATAAAATAAAAGGCTGGGCATAATTAAAAGAGAATAAAATCATGGCATTTGCAGGTAAATGGATGGAGCTGGAGAATATAATGGTAAGTGAAATTAGCCAATCCCAAAAAAACAAATGCCAAATGATTTCTCTGATATAAGAATGCTGATCCATAATATGCTTGGGGGGTGGGGGTGGGTGGGAGAATTAAATGAACTCTAGATAGGGCAATGGGGAAAAGGGGAGGGGAAGGAAGGAGGGGAAAGGGGGTATAGGGGTAGGACAGACAGTGTAATGCGATGGTCATCATTACCCTAAGTATATGTATGAAAACGTGTGGCTGTCACATCCTTGCTTTACTAATAGAGATTGGTTTCAAATTAAGTTTTCAAGGTGATGAGATATATTTTCACAGTAATTTTTTCTGCAACAGACAGCAATAGCACTATCCAGGATAGTGCTACCTGCCATTAAAGTCAGGTCAAGTAAACAAAATAGGTTTGTTTATTTGACCTGACGTTAAGGAGGATGTGACTCTACTTTGTGTACCACCAGAGATATGAAAAATTGTGCTCTATATGTATAATATGAATCATAATGCATTCTGTTGTCATATATAACAAATTAAAATTTTAAAAAAGGCTGGCATGTAGCTCATTGTTATAACACTTACCTAATATGCACAGGTCCTGAGTTTAGTCCCCAATACTGGGGGAAAAAATCCTATCATGTAGGTACTTTAATGTATGCATGCCTTGCATTAACAACCAGATTGTATAAATATTAACTTTTCAAAAAATATATATTTAAAATCATATTATTTTTGTAAAGTTAAAATATTCTATACAGACTTTAAAAGTTGGATTCTTTGATTTTTTTTCAGTGAAGATAAATATGAGGTGTGTGGTTTGGCATCTCCCTGTTTTACTAAATAATTGACATAAAATTATATATATATGTATATATATATACATATATATATATAATCCATATTATAATTCCATATAATTAAATTTCTTAAGTATTTTAAATTATAAAGCAAAACATTCTGACATAATTTCTAGTGTCAGAAAACTACATACAGTGCCTTGAAAATGAATATTAAATTATTTTGTAGAGAATAAGATACAGGCATTTCTAGTTCCCAAAAGCAAAAACTCAAATGACTGATATGTGGAAACTACCCTACAGTAAAAAGGGAGTGGGGAAGAATAGATATACAGTATATTGGGGAATGAAGGGAAGAAAGAGAGAATAGTGAAAGGAAAGACAGTAGTATGAATCTGAAATAATTTTCCTGTGTACATATATGAATACACCATAGTGAATCCCACCATCATGTATGTTCACAAGAATGGGTTTCTAACTAGAATGAGATATATTCCATGCTTGTGTAATTACATCAGTATAATACACATATTCTATTGTTGTGTATAACTAAAAAGAACTAATTAAAAAGGATATAGGCTTTGAATGCTTATTCATTATGTATATAGAGTATGGTGACAATAATGCCCATTGCTAAGGTCAAGTAAAATTTGAAAACACTGACTGTAAAAGTTGGAATGTGTTTCTCTACTTTCAATACCTCTGAGTCTTTAGTATCTCAAGATGCACTTAGAATCCTAGAAGGGGTACTGGAGATAAAGCTCAGCTGTACAATGCTTGCCTCACATGGAAAATCTAAATCACCCATCAGCAGAAAAGAACTTTGCATTATATTATGGAATATCTGGAAACACTTGACAGCCATCTGAAAATATAGAAACAAAAAGCTCTGTTTGTGGCTAACCCAAAAAGTTGGACTTTATTCAAAGTTTGTCGTATTATTTGTGAGAGTCAATATTATGTCAGATTTTTGTCTATGTTTAAATTTGTTTAAAGCAACATAGTAGGACTTCCTAAGCTTTAATAAGCTTTGTCACACTTAGTTCTGTTTTATCTCAGGTAAAAATATTGCCCTTTAAAAATATAGTACCCACCATTCATTATATTTAGGAAGTATATATTGAATGGTGCTATAGTGGCCTAACTGAACTGTTTCATGCATTCTTAAAAAATACTGAGATTTCTGTAGACTGAGTAGTGTGTTGTCTATTACACAGAAATAAGACATTAATTTTTGAAAAACTATATTAATGCATCCTTCAATATTTTGTATAGTAATGGAAACCTGCAATGAGAATAAGCAAATTCCAACTTTTGTTTTAAGAATATATGCAAATGGATACCACCCCTTTAAGTACTGAATAAGTACTGTAGTGACAAAAACTTTCAAGGGCAACCACAAAACTATACACATTTCATCAAGCTTTGTTCTATTACAGCTCTGCTGTTGCTAGTGTTAGAATAAGATAATGTAAAAGATGGAGAGACATAAAATTAATTTTTTAAAACTGCAGCACGCTGTTAGCAGTAAAAATGTTAATATATTGGCCAGTTCATAATATATCTGATTTAGAGGAAAAGCATATGACAATGTATATGAAAAATCGAGAGTATATAAACCTTAATACAATCTAAGAAAACACCATTTCAGCATATTACCTAATTTTCATTAAAATGATGAAAATGTGAATACAGAAAATCACTTAGTCCTTAGGCTAAAAATAGGTAGATCATCAAAACCTAATACCATTTCAGCTCAAATTGGTATTTGTTCAGTAAATGTTCTACATCATAATATAAAAAGTACAAAAGAAAACTCAAATTTGGGGAGAACTTAAAGGGATTTTTAAAAATAAGCAAATTTAACTAATTCTATTTGGACTTCCAAACTGAAGCAATAGAGTTGTCATGAAACATTTACAACAAATAAAAAACAAGCAGATTCTTCAGAAATTAGTTTGAGTTTGTATTTTATCCTCAGGCTTCTCAGCCAAATATTACTTATATTGGCTTTTTGAATTTTTTCCCTTCCATTTCTCAGCTTCTAAATTTCATCTCATTTAGCTACACATTTTCTCATGTGTTACTCTACAAATGCTAAGTAAATCTTGCTTATTTTGGCTGTTTTTACTAAAACATTGAATTCTTACAATTATAAGAATAGGTAGAAAAGGCAAAAGCAATTCTATGAATTATAATTTACATTTTTTGACTAATTTTTTTTCTTTGCAATTTGGCTCACAGTGTCCTATTTGAGCTCAGGTAAATGATTATAACTTTTCTAAGTTTTGTGACTGCTCAGACTCTCACAAGAGTTATACATCCTGGTAAATCACAAGAAACACACTCAAAGACCTGAAATGTTCTAATGTTGATTTCTAATGTTGTTTCTTTCTACACATGCTAGAAATACTGACTGCAGTTTGCAGATCTGACCTGGGTACCTGT